TTTTTTTTAAATTGATATTTCGATTGATAAGCAAGTGATTCAAACATCATTTTTTAAGAAGTTGTATGATAATCTAACGCAATTTGCTTTTGGCTTGCTTTTGCTAAAATATATAAATAATTACCACTAAGATTTAAAATACTGTTTGTTCCATTGTCTGACAAATTATATATAATCATCTAGTATTTTTACACATAAAAAAAGATCGAATAAAAATTTTGTTTTTAATGCAGTGTAACATTGATGCATATATTTGTGATTGTCCCAATAAAGGATTATAATTAATTATTATTCTTTTAATTAAACATTTCCTTTTGACGAATTTAATTAATTTAATTATTAAAAAAAAATTTTTAATTTAATTAACTAATTAATTGATAAGATGACTTGTAAAGAATATAAATTGCTTAACCTTTTCATTTTCATGTTAAGTTATTTATTCTTTAAAGTTGGATCGTTTACTCCTGAAGGACGTTTAGGCCATTCTTCTGTCCTAGTTGAAGATAAGCTGTATTTTTTTGGCGGATATGTTGATAATGCTATGTCTTGCACAAATCAAGTGTTTTATCTCGATTTATCTAAGTCTTTTAATTTAACTGCTCCACCATGGGTTTCCCTTACGCAAAATGCCGAAATACCATTCAGAAGTTGCTGGGGAACTGCTTTATTGAATGATAAGGAACAAAATATTTATTTATTTGGTGGAATTATGCGTAATGATCAGAAACAAGATGCATTTGTATCAAATGTTCATTCTTTCAATTTAAATTCCTTATCGTGGAATGTACCTAATATCGAAGGGACTCCACCTGAAAGACGAAGAAGTATGAAGGGTGTAATTGATAATTCCGGAAGTATATATATTTTTGGTGGATATGCTGATAATTCATTAGGTTCAACAACATTAATACGCTTCAATGATATGGTCATTCTCAATACTGCTAAATTATCATGGGTAATCAATCCAGCTAGTAAACCTTATGCGCAAAGTACTTATACTGCAACACTATTATCAAATGGCATTATTGTATACATTGGTGGTTCTGAAATGAGCGAAGACACTCTACGAATAGTTGACATTAAACAAATTAATCTGTTTGATACAAAGACCTTAACTTGGTCAGTGAAAGTATGTATCAAAATTATCATAAAAAAAATTATGATTAAATTAAAATAGTTAACGTCAATATATTTAAATGTAGATAGCAACAGCTTCAAATATAATTCAGAGTCGTTATGGTCATACGGCGGTCTTAGGTATACAATTATAATTTAAAGTTTATATATCATCTTAATCTATTTATTTATTTGTTCTTTATTTATTAAAAATAGCCTCAGATAATAAGATCATTATTTACGGAGGTGCTAAAAACGTTAAGGGTATGGTTGCTAGAAATATACAAGTTTATCCAGAGTTGGTTGTCTTAAATATGCAAACAGAACAATTTGAATTCATTGTGCCACAAGTTAATTCAAATGTTGGTCAGGTTCCATCACTTTTAACTCATACAGCTGATCTGGTTGGAAATTATATGATTGTTGCTTTTGGTAAATAAATAATCAATTAAATTCTTTATTAAAATAATTCTAAAACATTTTAATTTATTTTAATGCATTTCGATAGGAAATATTACGCAACCAAATGCCAATCCATTATTATTCAGGAATCCTAATATTTACATAATGGATATCAGAAATTATACGTGGGTTGATTCATTTGAAGTAACAAGTGCAAATGTAACGACAAATACTGACCCATCAAAATCACAATCATCGCCAACTGCTTCCATAATTGTTGTTACAAATAACGCTAATAGTGAATTGGTTGAAATGAAAATTATAATTGCATCAATTGGAGGAACTGTGGGCGCCGTTATAATTATTGCATGTGGATTTTTATTTTATAGATGGAATAAAAATAGGAATGGACAATCTTTTATAAATGAGGAACATATTTTACCTGGAAATATCGTTGAAGTTAATCGTAATAACATCACATAATCATTTACTCTATTTTAATATTTAAATTTTGCAATGAATAAATATTTTTATTATTAACATTGCTGCACAATTAAGCTCGCTCTATATATATTGAACTTGTTTATTTATTATGTTTACATGTGTTACATTAAATATAATTTCGCTCGGAAATTGATTTCGATTTTGCATTAGTCCTTTGAAGATCATTTT